CTCTCTCTCTCTCTCTCTCTCTCTCTCTCTCTCTCTTTAAAAAAAGAATTTTTATTAAAGGAAAGGTATTTTTCAGGGAATTGTATAGGTTTTTGTGGAGCATTCTTGGTTTATAAGCAATGAATCCTTTGCACTGTGCTGTCGTTTGGTTTTTCTGTGGTATGATTTCACACAAGAGTGCAACTTTCCCACATCCATCTATATGTGAATGTCAAGTAAAGAGAGAGAGGTGTTGACCAACCTAAAGGAAACAGAAGCAAAGTCCATGTTTTTAAAGATAAATAAACTCTATATCCTTCAATAAAAGCCCTAGGAATAATAATACTATGACTAATAACTGTTTGTAGGACTGGATCAGACATATGTTGGCCTTTAATGCCTTAGATATGCTCTTATAAATGGCTCTGGTATGGTTGGCTCCCTGCACACAAGCCCATTCACCCAGTATTATGAATATAACCTAAGTCTAAGAATCTGGTCTCATACTCACACCCTGGGGCCTTTGTGGGCTGTGGCTTGAAGCTTAACCTATCTGAATTCCAACTGCACTTAATGATCTTGTTAGTCTTTGCCTCCCTGTCTCCTTATCTCTAAATTTCTGTCTCATCCTTCCTTTCTGCTGCGTTTCTGGTGGGTGGCATCTTGAATTAACATTGGTTGCAGGTAAAAAATCAGGAAAAGGACTCTATCCTTAGGTTCTAACCTGTCTCCCTCAACATAGGGATCTCATCATCTGCCTTTATGGATGTACACCATTCTGTCTCAGTTGTGTCTGCCATCTTTCCTTTGCACCTCAGGCCACCTATTGATTTCACTGAATTAGGCGATAGTGATGTTCCTTTATGGAGCACACTCTTTGATCTAGAAGCTGCAGTCCAGAGCTTCCATGTGCCTAAGCAGCTATGCCAGAGGACAGGCATGACTCAAGGAGCACAGCGAAGGAAAGAAACCCATTAGTTCTCCTGTGATTATAACTGAACCTCTTCAGTGTACTTAAGTTGATTATGGGAGACTCTGCAATTCGGTGCAAATCATCTACAGGATAGTCTTCATCCAATCAAGCCAAAAAAAAAAAAAAGAAGGAGATATAAATTAATAGTCTTTGAAAGTGGCTACAGCCACTTTGTCCTGGATCAGTTCCTCTCCGCAAGGGCTGGGTTGTGAAATACTTCTAGTCCTCAGCCTTATGTGTGAGGACATGTGCTTCTCCAGGGCAAGGAGACCCCACCAACCAGCCCGTGTCTTGGTGTCAGTCAAGAGTGGATATCAAAGAAGGGTCAGAGATAGGAAAGACAAGGGAATTTAATTTTCTACATTAAATATATATATTTTTTTGCTTTGTCTTCCTGATTACTTTTGTGACCAGAAAAGTGCAACCATTATATGCATAGTTATCACATATGTTTCATTTTCTATTGTTGCTGTAACAAATTACCACGAATTTAGCAGCTTAGACAATACAAATTTATTATCTCACAATTCTATAGTTCAGAAGCCAAAAATGCGTTTTGCTGGGCTAAAATTAAGGTGTCAGCAGAACTGTGTTTCTTCCTGGAAGCTCTCAGGGGGAAGCTAGACTTTTCCCATCTTCTAGAGGCTGTCTGCCTTCCTCAGGCTGTGCCCTGTTTCTCCATCTTCAAAGCCAGAAGCTGCAGGTCCAGCCTTTCAGATGGTCCATCACTGTGGTCCCTCTTCAGCCTTGGCCATCCACTTTTAAGGACCCTTGTGATTACATTGAATTTAGATAATCTGAGATCATCTCTTTGTCTTAAGATCAGCAGATAACAAACTAAATTCCACCTGCAATTTAATTCCCCTATGCCATATAAGGTAACATATTCACAGGTTCTGGGAGTTGGAACAGGGCATCCTTGGGACCATTATTCTGTCCATCAGAATAATGTATGCATACATTTTATTAGTAGCTATATTTGATTTTTAGGTGTGTATATCAATCTAAATTAATGAAATTTGGACGAGACGAGCCTTTTGTTTTTCTTTTTGTGGGCAGATATAATCTCACTTATGGTATTCTGCCAGTGGCTGCTCAAATCCAAATATATTTATGTCCCTTTTCTTTTATGTCCCTGTTCTGCCTCCACTAGCCTTTTTAACAAAGAAGGGCCCTGTGTAAGAGTCACTAGTTCAGTTTAAAGTTTGTCTTTCTAATTTTTTTTTCTTCCACCTGCCTATCAGCCACTGTTCTGCTTTACTTCATAATAAATTGAAGAGGAGAGAAGTGCCGAAATTGAAATCAGTTCACTTTTCTTCTTGTTATTAACTTGGTAGCAGAGGAGATTGAATTTAGGAACAAATAGGGACTTGGAGTTACTGGTCGATTTAATGTTTTTCTTGTCCCCTAAGACTGTCCAAATTTGAATTCAGAAATATCTTAAAAGATCCAACATGAAACAATTTCTTTTGAACTTTCTTGGACACCATCTCAGGCTCTTGCCACTTTGAACAGAGTATGAAAGGCAGATGCATTGTCAACTCTGAGATCCAGGGCTCTGTGAGAAGGGCTCACTCATCTGCCTTCCTGGGTTCCTCAATGGAGAAGCAGTCCCCTGCAACTCAAAATTTTAATTTATCTAGCAAACTATATGAGTCTGTCCAGGGCAGGAACAGCTCCTGCAACTGCTTTGCCTGGGACATTAATTTGCAGATATCTGATGCATGGTTAATGCTGCAGCTAGAAAAGAATGTTTGGAAAAGCAGCTGTCTTCTGCTCTTCCAGGCTTTGGAAGTAGCAGATGGGATGTTTTTTTTTATTTATATAAGAGAAGTAGAATTGGAGAGTGATTAAAATATTTATGCTTTGAAAAGTACTTTCTTTCAGTTTTTCAATATAGCCGTCTGCAGAATAATCCATTGATTCAGACCATTGAGTTTGTATTCTATGTTTTTGCCTTTTATTACCAATATTTTAGAGCATGCATTATTCATTTTTATGGGCATTAGAGAAGAGCTAAACTGCAGCTGGTTACCTCGGCACACAAGTGGCCCCATAATCATTTCATGGAAGCCTTCCTTTTTGAGGATAGGAAAGAGGACACAAGTGATACGGAAATTTCAGGTACAGGAATCTCATTTAAAGCTCATGTGGCTGACTGCTTCCTGTTAAAAATTCTAACAAGAGTATACATGTAAAAAATAGATCTCTGGGAATCTGTGTTTCTCAACCTTGACTGTGCATTAGGATCATCTGGGGCCTGTTATCAGACCCAACTGCACAAAGAAAAATTAACCCATGGGGTAGGGACAAAGCTATCAATGAGTATTTTCATTAAGGCAGATTTGCTCCCTATTGGTGATTTGTGTCAACAGAATTACCATCAGCTCAGTAGGAAAAAAAAAAAAAAAGAATTACCATCAGCTGTTGCATAGGATATGTATCACCAACTAGGGCAGATTGTGTACATGGATAGGGTAGCATGTCTGTTGGTCTGTAAGAAGCAATTTTAATCCTCATTCTGCTACCCAGAAAATTAATGAAAAATAAAAAATAAATGGAGACTGGGATCCCATCACCCTCTCCTATGGTGGGACAATATTAAATGGAAGTAATAAATGTAAAAATGCTTTGAGGAAGTAAAGAGTCATATGCAGGTGGAAAGCGCTCTTTTCTTAATCACAAGATCAATCCTGCCTATGAAGTATGAGTAAATTGCCCTTTTCCAAAGAAGACTTATTTTGTCCATTATGTTAAAATGAAAAAGAAAAGTGAAGCTGTCTATAATTCCCATATTAAGTTCTGAACTGAATTAATAACCCATTTAACTTTGGCAAAAAAAAAAAAAATAGGCCCTAAGCTGAAATGTTCATGGATGTTGGCACAATCTTCTTTCAAACCACTTTATTAGGTACTTTTGTTTCTCGTGAGTAGCAGCCTAAAAATCAGCAGGTCTTACGATTCTCTTGTACTTTGTGGCTGACCAGAATGAAGGCCTCTCCAACAACCACCTGCTGTCTGGGGTAGCTGAGTCTTTTTAGAGACCATCAAAATACTTGTTTGTAGTATTGGTGCTACTTTAGACTATCAAATCAACGTTGTAAACCAAGATCACATGACTTTGCCACACTTTCAAATTACCAAAATGGAAGAAACGAGTGATTTGAAAAATGTAGTCATTCTAGTACAAAAAGACGATTTTGAAACTTTATCCAGTGGTATAATAAGCTAAGTACACAGGATGGGGTTAGAATCTCAGGCTTGCAGATGAGAAACCATCCCTGCTTAAAAGAGCAAAGACTGTGCAATGGGGGAACCCAGGCCCAACAAAGACGCAGCTGCCCCTGGCCAGCTCGGATGAGCTTCTTCCGAGTCA